AACTACTCTATTCTTCAAGGTGTGGTTGTTATATGAGTATTAACTGTCACCTCTTTTCTTTCTTTAGTCTGCTTTACTCCCTTCTCACATTTCCCTTCAGTAGACGAGTAATTGCTGGGTGCACGAGGTAATTGGTTCTTGAAGTAAAATCGACAACTATTGTATGATTGGAAGTGACTAAACCTAGTACATTGTGACTATTGTTACTTGACAAAGTGTCAATTGAATTTTATTCTCAAAGTCAAAACATAACATGGCGACAAAATAATTCTTAGAAATAATAAACAACAAGTTAAAAAGTGGAGGCACAGAGCAGTAGAAGAAGATCAAATCAACAAGAGCAGAGTTGGTTAATTAGTCCTTGACAAGGGTCTAACATAGTTGATTGTAATCTATTGTTTTCAACTTGAATGATGCATTATATTCCCTCCGTTTCAATTTGTTTGTCTAGTTTTGACTTGACACGTAGTTTTAGAAGTATAGACGGCTTAAACAGAGGGAGTACGTGTATGGAAGGATGTTGCTTAGTCACTAATATGTGCCACCTAAAAACTTGGACACTAGGAAAGCATGATAACTATCAAATCAAGCTAACATCTAACTAGCTGTTAGCCAGTGTTTTGGAAATCAATAAGTGAAAAAAAGCAACGACTGCTCGCTTCAATGAAGTGTGAAGTGAAGGCATGGTTTTTTTTTTAACTAAAGCACGATTTAATACGAAATTAGGTAATATTAAATTCATATAGATAAATGACCAAGAACTCAATAGGAGTCAATAATCCTCATAAAATAGTAAAACTAGATAGTCAGTTAACTTTGTCTCAAAAAATAATCCTCATAACATGTTAAGCAATTTCAGAACCAAATTCATGGAACCCTAGACGAAAATGATAGTTATCTATTAGAAGCCAATTCTTAACCAAATTCATGAAACCCTAGACAAATTCTTAACCAAATTCTAGATGCAAATGTTTTACTCTTCCTGTTCTTCTTATATAATTCCAAAAGAAGTAGAGAAGAAGAGAAATTTGGAGAGGAAGAGTTTAACATTTTCGTGTAGGTTTTCATGAAAATTTAAAGAGGAGAGGAGAAGAGACAAGAAAAGATTAAGGGACGAAGAGAAGAAGATAAGAAATAACATTGCAACACTAGAATTAGAGGAGAAAAGAGCAGCAAATCCGAGTAGCAGCAGCAGGAAAAAGATGTGTAAGACTCTGTTGCAATGGTTTTAAAACTAGACCTAGAATTAACCCTAATTTCATTGAAAATTTCCAAAAATCTCGCTTTTTTCGCTTAAGGATGCTTCACGCTTCAGGCACTTCTTGCTGAGACGCACACTTTTCTTTTCTAGCCTTGCTTCAGGGCATAAAGTGCTCTTCCCCACATCTTGCCTGATCTTAGTTCACGCTTTAAGCACTGAAGCGAGCGCTTTTAATTTCACTGCTGGAAGCTGTTACGGAAACTAGTTGGTTTTTTTGAAGAGGCAGCTATAAGACATAGCTATTACAATGTGAAAGATCAAAAATGACAATCCACCTGTGGAGAGACTAAAGCAAGTAATTAAGGAATCATCATACTCATGAACTACCCAACTGCATAACACCAAGTACCGGTACTCACTAAATTGAGTGAGAATACTTTATTAATCATACTTGCTCATTAGTTTTGCTTCTTTATGTGCATATAATATCCTCTAAAAACTTTGTTGATGTATTAATGGAGAGACCATTGCAAGTAAATAAGGGAACATCATATACATTATAAATTATGGCAACTTAGTTGATGTATGTTGGAGATCATGATATAGGGGTATTACTTCGTAACTGTGAAGTTGTATTACCAATTTTTTAAAAATATTTTGCAGGTCTATTCACTGGACTGGACTCCTGAAAAAAATCGTATAGTTAGTGCATCCCAAGATGGTAGATTAATAGTGTGGAATGCTCTGACAAGCCAGAAAACCCATGCAATTAAGCTTCCATGTGCTTGGGTTATGACCTGTGCCTTCTCTCCTAGTGGACAGTCTGTTGCTTGTGGCGGCCTTGACAGTGCCTGCTCTATCTTCAACTTAAATTCACCAATCGATAAGGATGGGATCCATCCAGTATCGAGAATGCTTAGTGGGCATAAGGGGTATGTGTCTTCGTGTCAGTATGTTCCGGATGAGGATACTCACCTAATAACTAGTTCTGGTGATCAAACATGTGTACTTTGGGATATAACTACTGGCTTAAGAACTTCTGTGTTTGGGGGTGAGTTTCAATCTGGGCACACTGCAGATGTATTAAGGTAAGCTGTTGTATGGGCTATGCAATTATGCTCTCTTTGTCCTTAAATTTTGCAGTATGTTTAGCGTATCTTCTGCTTGTATATTGGGAAGCAATCTTATTTCTTTTCCATTTATCCAGTGTCTCAATTAGTTCATCTAACCCTAGACTGTTTGTGTCTGGGTCCTGTGACACAACTGCTCGACTGTGGGACACCCGAGTTGCTAGTCGAGCTCAACGAACATTTCATGGACACGAGAGTGATGTCAATACTGTAAAGTTCTTCCCTGATGGTAATAGATTTGGAACTGGTTCAGATGATGGAAGCTGCAGATTATTTGATATTAGGACTGGACACCAGCTGCAAGTATACAACCAACCGCATGGTGACGGTGACATCCCTCATGTTACTTCCATGGCATTTTCTATCTCAGGCCGTCTTCTCTTTGTCGGGTACTCTAATGGTGATTGTTACGTGTGGGACACCCTATTAGCAAAGGTACAACAAAGTTACATCTTGCTTTTTAACTCATTTCTCCAAAACGTTCTTCTATCATTCTAAACATTATCTAGTTAGCAAACATTTTGAGGCAATGCGTGATCCAAGCATACTCAATCTCTTCTTTTTTAGTAGGTAACATTTAAATTTATTATTACCATTTTCCTTTCCAGATTTCCTTTTCATTTTGATTGTTTGTACATATTTATGATGTCTTTGTTCTTATCTGACATCAGCTTGATTTCTTGCTGTTATGCTTTGAATCAATAGGTGGTCCTAAACTTAAGATCAGTTCAAAACTCACATGAAGGGCGAATAAGTTGTCTGGGACTGTCAGCTGACGGAAGTGCCTTATGTACAGGAAGTTGGGATACAAACCTGAAGGTAAGCTTTACAGTGGTTTTCTCTTCCTAATGAACAAGAAACTACATTATGGTTTTAAGCATCAAACCAAATTCTAATGAGATGAAGAAATCTAAGAAGTTTAGAACCATTAATTACAGAATTTATGTGTGTGAGGAAAGAACTTATACAAATAATGGATGGTAGCTCCTACATTTCCCCAAGTTCTTACGTGGATGAGAAACACATATCATATTTTTAAATCCATGACTGAGATTGGTTAATTAAACAAGGTCCTAATCATGGTTAGAGTAATAAATATTTCCATATCTGATATCTGAACTTTCCTCTCTTTAGCTAAATTCATGTCCTAACATTGTTATTTTCACAGAATGTATTTACTTTTGTTATTGCCACTCCATACCAACTGAATTCCTACCCTGTGTTTTAAGCTTTTACTATATTTTATATTCACAAAATGGATTTGCTTTGAGGTTTTCTTGTTTCCGTTTATATATACATGGTCAATAGCTAGTAATATTCTGAATACTGAATTTGTATTCACTTCTTCGTTGGAAACACAAGGTCATGATATGTTAAATATTACTAATCAAACAAATTTGAATTTTTAGCAAATTTAAGGCCCTTCATTGGTGATACAATTTTTTTTTCAATATATGAAATATATAGGCACTATAAGGGTTAGAGTTTGGAGGTTAGAAATTTAGAAAACCAGAGTTGAGAACAAGGATAGAAGTCTTAATATATTTATGGGTGAGATATGCATTGAGATTGACAAATTCTTTTGAAGCAAAAATACATGGAATATCTACTATTCAATCATGGTTAAAGTCTTGCTTACTACAACTACTAGCCTGTTATATGAATCCCCACTTCTTTGTTTAAGCTTATCATATCCTCATTATCGAACACATTGATAGAAGTTCAATTCAGCATATAATCTAAACCATTAATTTAAAATGAGACATCTGTTCCCCATCCAAGTGAGAACATGAAGAAATGAAGAAGAGCCAAATCCACAAATAAATAACCCTATTCCACTTCTCAGTGAGAACTATTCAGGAACCAGTACCTTGAAATTTTGGGGCCTCAGTTTTGTGTTTTGGACTAGCCTGCATAGCGGTCAGCCTTGAATATCAAATAATTACTTAAAAGAAAAGAATTACAATCAATTATTTACAATCAAGGATACCCATCTCTATCTCTTTTATTTTCTCTGCAATAGATTTATCCGACTCTTCACAGTTCAGTTTCCCATGTATTCCACCATTAAAACAAGATCTTAATTTCTTTGTTTCTTTGGCAGATTTGGGCTTTTGGAGGACACAGAAGTGTGATCTGAGTTGTGAAACACCTCATCCTGTTATTTATCTCCAGTCCCTCTTCATTCTCATTTTCTTTCATGGCCAGCCCGTGGGTTCGCGATTTCTTTTGGCATCTTCATAACCTGTAGATCTTTTTAAATCTAGTTAATATTTCTGTCAGATAAACCAAATTGTTTCCACATGAATCTGACATATATTACTAGACCAGCACCAGTTGTAAAAAATAACCTGTTTGTTGTCAAAAATTCTCTGATGATTTCAGCTGCTTATGTAATTAAAATTCTTTTTAAAAAAAATCTTGAGGAATGAAAACAAGCTTTACTTTTGCCACCATCAAAGAACTGTTGTAATATCGGAATTCTTAGTTTGACAGAAAAGCCCAGGCATAAACTTTTTCCTTTTCCTCAATGTTCGTATTTATTCTCCTCCAGCTTCATTGTTTCCATTAACAAGTGTGTTTTTTTTTCATCTTTTTGTAAAAATGATCATTGTGTTCAGGCTTTCTATCATATTTGAGAATTCTCTGTGCTGGTAATATTGTTAGCTTGTTTGTAATGGCACAATGGTAAAATTGCTTCTTTCCTTTTACAGGTAAAACGAAGTGCATTTTGGCACTCTAAGGTGTGACATTGTAGTTGATGATTTAATTCTCGTAGAGGCAAAAATTAGGTTACTTTTCCTAATCCAATCGAGAGCAGAAGGCATAATTTTTAATTAGTAAAACTGTCGAGTAATATTGGTTTTGTGAACAATTTGGGAGGGAAGAAGTACATTGATGGCATATAAATATGTGGAGCCACATGACAAATAGACAATGTAGATACATGTGGCTAAAAGAAGCTATGTTTCTTTGCTCTTCTATCCCAACTAGAAGAAACTGCTTCTTCATCTCTGCCACAAATATCCCATTTTCTTCATCTCCAAATCCTCCTTTACTACTCAGATTTCATACTTCTCACCGTGAAAATCTCCGTTATCTAAAATCTCTTGGCATTATCAAGCCTGGTACGAAGACCTATAAAACAACCCCATCAACAGAATCCCTTTCCCAAATTTTATCCACTGTCAACTTCCTCAATTCTAAAGGCTTCTCCCAGGCTGATATATCCAGAATTGCTCTTGTTTGTGACCATGTATTTTCTCCTGAATTTAATGTTGAGTCTGTATTTGATTTCTTTAAGTTTGATTTAGGTGCAACCCCAGAAGAAACTCAAGGTTTAATTCTTCGATGCCCTCAAATTCTTGAATCCAATGTCCCCTTCTGTTTGAGACCAACATTGCTTTATCTTAAAGAATTAGATATTGGAAACTTGAACTTGCCAACAAACCTAAATGCTCATCTACTGAATACCCGAGTGGATAAATTGCAAGAAAAAGTTACATTTTTTAAGGGAATTGGGTATTCTTATGAAGAATCAGCCAAGTTTTGTGCTAGATTTCCTGCTATATTTGGTTATAGCATTGAACACAACTTGTGGCCAAAGTATGAGTATTTGGTTGAGGATATGAAGAGGGATCTTGAGGAACTGAAACTGTTTCCTCAATATTTTGCTTTCAGCCTTAGAAACCGGATAGTTCCTAGACATCTGCATCTCAAGGAAAGAAATGTTATAATTCCGTTGAAAAGAATGTTGCTGTGGAGTGATCAAAGATTTTATGCTAAATGGAAATGATTTTCTTATACATAGCGTTGTATCTGTATTTTTTCTTTGAAGTGACCCAATTGTCTAGTGGTGAAAGATGAATTTTCATGCATAATGCATCATCTTTAAAGTAATCGGTCTTATCTGGTAGCTTATTCATTTTCCGATCCTGACCCCTTCATTGCACAATTAAAGGTGTGAGAAGAGGCCAAAGGACAATAATTCGAGACCAACTTCCAATCACAAAAAGAATGAACCATCAAAATAGCAAAATTTAGAATGAATACAACAAGCATGGTGCCAACTTTGTATCTCGAACCAAGTACATCAGGTAAATACTTCGACAATATAATGCAAAATATACGGGCTAGAACTATCAACTCTTTCCTTCGAACCAAAAAAAAAAGAGAAAACGATAAAACCAAATTTAGTGTTTGAATTAACCCAGCCGACTGACTCATTGAAGAGTACCTCGCAGTTGTAAACGGACCAAATTTACTTGGTAAAAAAAATTAAAATAAATCCACTTTCTATTACAAGTATTGATCTTCAGCTCATCTACAAAACTAGCCACTTGCAACAATTTCATGAATTGCATCGCTGACGGATATATCTTCAGACCTAACGGCCAGTTTCATTGCAACCTCCTTTGGCCCACCAACTCCAAATGACAACCGAACTAGAACCTTTACATTGCCAATGTATAAACCAGATAATAAACATGTGTGTGATCTCGAATTGCTTGGGACTACCTCAGTACCCTGGACAAACATCATAGAACAGTTGAGGATTCCACATAAAAAGATATACGCATAGTTGCTCAGAAAAGGTTCGACCAAATATGTATTAAGGTAATCTGTACAGTATGCCCTTGCTTAAGTTCTAACAGAGCGTTTGAGTTGATTAAAACCGTGAATGAAAGACAAACCTCGCAAGGTTGCATGCCAAGAAGGCTGATGACTGCATTTACAGCTTCAGTTAGGCCTTCCATTGGTCCGAGACCATATTCATCTATCTTTTCACAATCTGCTCCCAAACTCTCCCAGGCATTCCTAAAGTTGGACACTCCAACTTTTAGCATATAATCTGCTGAAACAACCTCAAGGTCTTCTAGCTGGTACTCGTCTTCGACACCATCATCTTCAACTTCACCAGTAGATGGATCCACCTTGTGTATCACCAAAAATTAACACAGCATATCATCACATTGCAGAGCGAAAGATATCTTGGAACAATTTGACAAGATACACGGAGCTACATTTCATAATCAGAACCATTGAATACAACAGATAGAAAGAAAAAAATCAGCAGTTTTTTTTATCCTTTTGGAGGTTGAGCTCGGAAGGATACTCTATCTGAATGATATACTTCAGGAGAACAGGGTCCAAAATTAGTTCTTGAAGTTAAGATTTCGGAGGATAACAACACAAGTTATTTCTAATGCAGCTGTTATTTTGAACAGGCAGAGCTAAAAGATGGTTGTAGTGATGCTGCTATTATTATGGAAAGAAGACCACCTTAGTCAAGATGCTCCACACAACTTACATGGCTTGCATAGTTGTTAACAAGTGATCACAATTCACAGCTCAAAAATCCATCTTCAAACTAAAATTATCATATATAGATCTCTCTATTCATAAGCTTTAGAGAAGACTTTCCATACACACAAGTTACATGACTACAAGAAAAGCTGAACTACCAGATAGGAAAAGGGGAAAAAAGCTAAAACATGGTCATCTCTCAAGTCAGACTCCATCCAGATCTGTTCACAAAATAATTCAGGAGAATTATACCTCTTTAACGATGAACCTTAATGTGTTTGAGAATTTCCCAACAGCAGGGACTCCTTCCGGTCTCTCAAAAGCCACAAATGTCTGCCCTGGAGTATCGTATGGAAGGGACTTGAGAGGTTTGGATGCTACTTCAGAAAATTCCTCAGCTTCAGAAGCATCTACTATAACACTGACCTGCAGCAGGCAAATAACATTTCAAAATGATGATCACGTCAAATTAAAATGCAAGAAATTCCTCCAAAGAAAAATTCAATACATTCTCCAGCAATTGTTCAGGAATAGTGTTGGTGCAGTTGTACTGGAACACAATATGACTGTCAAAAATGTGCTTGACAACATTAACTGCATATTCTGTTTCAGCTTCTGTTAGCTCCACTGGCGCAGATGACTGGTCATTCATGGAAAAAATATTAGCTTAAACAAGTACAAACAAATCACCATAGAAAATAAAAGATTATGTATATCGATCAACGAACCTTGAAAAGCTTCCCATAACTGGCAAATTCTGGAATAGAGGACAGTAATCTTTCATACGCATCAACAGTGGAAGTAGGGGCCACCGATGGAGCAGACAAACCAGTTGGCTTTTTACCAGGTGCTTTCTTCTCTGCCAAGGGTTGAGATTTGACTTCCTTAGGTACAGAATAAATATCAAATGGTTCCTCCGAGGGCTCCTGCCACCATTACAACAAAAACGTGAGGACAAATGCAAAAAGAACTAGAGATCATAATAGAGAGAAGCTACATACATAGTTCTTCAAACTGGTTTCCAGATTGGTTAAAGGGACATCGAGTGAACCAAAAAGGAATTCTTTCACCTCTTCATCAGTTTCAACAACTGCACCATCACCACCAAGGGTATTCAAGTAAAGTGTAGCACGGTCACGGACCTGCCAAAAGATTGCAACACTTGTAACTGAAAAAGATTATGACACAAGTAGAAACATATTGCAATCATTGAAGTCTACAGAGGAGCTAACTGAAAAAAAATATTATAAACAAACAAAGACGAGTGAAAAAGAAGCTGGTGGAAGTTTTAAAACTTCATTCATAACAAAACACTCAATTTCTTATGAGGAAGGAGATGCAGATACTCAGATATGTAGTTCGTTTCAGATGATCTTTGACATATGTAGGTTGCTAAAAACAAGTACATGCAACACAAACGAAATCTAAGTTACTAGCCAAAAAGGAAGTGAAGACATAGTTAAACAGTTGAGACAAGGAATACTTCTTTCTAGTTTACATAGGAATGACCGAATGACAAAAAGATATGGGGGAGGGAAAAAAGAAGACAAAATGTAGGCTCAACCATTTTCTTTTGGTAAAGGAAAATGTTATGAGTAAATGCCAACGAGTTCTGCAAATCCCAACAACATGAATGTTAATCAGGGAAATATGGAATCTTTGGCTATTTATTTTCCATCCTTTTTTTTTGTCTTTGGAGTGGAAACAACAAAACTTAAGTAAGCACGTGATTGCTCATAGTCATATATACAGGGCCCTAAATTTCACAAATCAAAGAATGGTTCTCCTGATTTACATGAAAGGAAAAGGATAAAGCAAACATTAACAAAGTAATAAAGAATAAATACTCGAAGGCATAAAATCTAATGACTAACCTCATCATCACTGTCAAACAGACAACGTTTCAACAGCACAAATATGCGAGGCTGCAGCATATTATAGAAACAGTTTTAAAATCAAAATGCAACATTCAGTCATGACACAAACTGAAACCAGAACAATTCTACCTTTAATGAATCAACCAAGGCACCAAACTTTGCTAAGGTGCTCACTGCACTGGCCCGAACCGTTGCGTTTTCAAGTATCACCCGATTATATATATATCGAATGTACTTACTGGGATCAGAGGTCTTAGGTCCTTCATTTCCAAGAAAGTGTAGTATCTATGGATAGATTGAGGTGAGAAATAAATAAATACAACATCACATAAACCAAATGAAAACAAAAATTACAAAGAAATAATGTGGATAGACAAGAAAACCAGGATTAGCAAGAATAGAGGAAATTAACCTGAGTAGAAAGATATGTAAATTCACAGTCCTCGATGAATTCACATAGGTGAAGCAATCCACCTTCTTTAGCATCTGGGATATCTCTAATCAGGATCACAATCGAATCAACAATAGCCTTCTTGTACTCAAATCCACCTTCTTCCCTCAAAATATTGCTCAAGAAATTCATCCTATTGTTGTTAAAAACACACACACACACACAAAATCCATGTCAAGTGACTGTTAAAAAGTAACAAAAAAAGATTATCCCCCTCTCCCCCCTTTTTTTGCATATTAAGCCTTGCATACATATATTATATACTGATATCCAGGTTTCTAAGAGAAGTCCATGATTACTCACAATGATCTGTACTTAAGGGGGAACTTCAAACACAACGATCTAATGGCTTCCACCACCACTATCTTAAACTCATCAGCAATGTCAGACATGAAGTTAGTGATCTGCTTCATAAGACGATCTATGCTAGATTCATTCCCAGTCTTGAGTAGAGTTGTGATAGCCAGAGTTGCAATGCTCCTATTTTGATCAGAAATCAGACTCTCCATATCAATGTTGCAATTTGTCACAGCCATAGGATGTGTCATTGCCACCTATACATGGTTCAAAAATTACAAATTAAGCTTCTTCAGTTACAAAGTTTAAGAAGGTAGTATTGTAACCAACCAGTACTACTTTAAGTGGCATAAAAATCAATATCATAGAGAATTAAATCCAAACATGTGTGTACAAAACAGAGATAGGGTTATACTGATGTGGAAGCATTGGTTAGTGAGCATCATTCTACTAAATAATTATTCATGAACCACAGTTACCAAATTAATCATTCATAATAGTAGTAGTAGACCAATGAATACACAGATGAATCACCTTGTTCAAAGTGCGGACAGCAGCAAACCTAAGAACTGGCTTAGAAGAGCTTAAAAAGAGCTGTAAGACAGTGATAGCAGGAGTTAATTCTCGAGTAGTCACGCCGTTAAGCTCTGTGATTGCCCTAGCTGCTTCAAAAATAACCATTTCCGCTTTGTGACGAAGGCAACTTTCTAAATAATCATAGAATGGCCGATCTCCTGTTTGACTAATGCCAGATTCTCTTATAACCTGAAAATTAATCATTCCAGCACACCATAAATAATCCAGAATTAGGATTTCTTTCCAGTAGGCAAAAGCCCAATCAAATAATTACATTAATACTAAAACTGACGGGAAATGAGGGGGAAAAGAAGGCACCTGACTAGTATAGCGAATCAAAAGGCATTGAGCTAG